AAGGGAATGTATACACAGAGACAAAAGAGCAAGCAGAAGTTACATAAAAGTAAGTTTTGAGTTTTGTTTTTAATTACATAAGTACATCTGCTTTCTCCTGGCTCACTATGTTTATTCTATCATTAAAAAAGGGAAAAAAAAATCTACCATATTTAAGATAATTGGTACAAGAAAATTCTACCTCTAAGGACCAAAGAAAGGTTTAAGGAGTCCCCAGGACTATCTGAAGGATGTGAGATGAAAACTCACACTCAACATGTCAGTGTTTGTTCTTATGCCTTCACAGGTTCTGAGTAATATAAGAAAATTATCACTAGAACTAAGAAATATAACTTTTATACTACATTCCTCCGTGTACTCAGGAACCAATCCATTGTTTACTTTGGTAGGGGTCACTGGGCTTTCTTTGGGTGACCATCAAATAAATATGGGACCCCCTTTATAGTATATTATTATTGGAATTTACATAATACACTGAAATGAACATTGTCCTGAGAGTCATGAAAGTTGGAAAAAACTTCAGAGCCTTTAACTGACCATGGGCAAGTATATCTTTTTAAGAAAAAAAAAAAAAAAAAGAGGCTGGATTGAGTAAGTCATTCTTAACGTGAGGTTAGAAGAAAGCTGATTCTAAGATGGAAGCTTTACCACTTAGTCCCCCCATCCTAGAAATTTTGATATGTCAACTCCCTCTACTTCCTCCCAGGGGGAGTTTGACCCTGGTCTTTTGATTGTGAACCTCCTCTAAAACAAACCATTACAAATGATGGGAATGTATTTTATTTTTCAAGACTGATGTAGTGAGGAAAGAAAGGAACTCAAATCATTCTACAAAAAAGATACCTGCACATATATGTTTGGTGCAGCTCTATTCACAATAGCAAAAACATGGAACCAATCATGCTGCCCATCAAAGCTGGACTGGATAAAAAAATGTGGTATATATACACGATGGAATATTATGCAGCCATAAAGAAGGACAAATATATAGACTTTGCAGCAAATTGGATGGATTTGGAGTCGATCATACTCAGTGATTTATCACAGAAACAAAGAACTGAGTTCCGTATGTTCTCACTCATAAGGTGACCTTGAACAATTATAATGCTATAAGAAAGCAACTGGCAGTAATGGAAAACTGTGAGGGGAAGGCGGGGTGGGACTGGCATTTGGGGGAAACTACTAGGGGAAGGAGGGACATATCTCATCAACAAGGGTACCTGCATGATCAATGTTTGTATACCTAACCCTGAATTGTACCCCACATCTTTATAATAAATAAATAAATAAATAAATAAATAAATAAATAAATAAATAAATAAATAAAAGAAAGGCCAGAAACCAACAGAGTGGATGATCTCTAAGGTAGAGGGGGTAGCACTTTGTAATGCAAACAGTATAGAAATGGTAGGCAGGAAACATGGATCACAGAGCTGGCTTTATTGTGACTTGTTAGTGACTTTGGGAAATCACATGTCCTCAATTTTATTTTTTTCATAAAAGTAGGCTATTTAAACTATGTGGTAAGGTCCTCCCTAACTCTCAACATTTATGCACTTATTTATTTTTTAAATAGGGCAGTGTAATTCACTATAGCAAAAACATGGAACTAATTGTGCTGCCCATTGAAACTGGACTGAATAAAAAAAAAAATGTGGTACAAATACAAAATGGAATATTATGCAGCCATAAAGAAGGACAAACATATGGACTTCACAGCAACTTGGATGGATGTAGAGTCTATAATACTCAGTGATCTATCAGAGAAACAGAGTACCATATGTTCTCACTCATAAGTAGACCCTGAACATTTACCATAATACCGTAAGAAAGGGATTGGCAGTAGCAGGATACTGCCGGGGTGGGGGTGGGGACACAACATCAATCAGGGCACCTGATCTCAAACCAGGCAAAGTGGGGATCAAAGGGAGGTCCAAACTTTACCTGTACGATATCCACTTATATACCTAATCCTGAAATGTACCCATCTTTAAAATAAAATGCAAAAATAAATAAATAAATAACTATGGCAGTGTAGATAAATGGGCTAGAAATTGTCAATGTGAAATTGATGTTAGGTTTTTCTCTCCTACAGCCTCCTGTTCTGCTCCTATGTGGTCTGGTTGCTCTCCATGCCTGGTATCGTTTTGAGTTCTCCCTTTACCAGCATCCTGGAGATTCCCTCTCTGTCTCTACTATTTTTGATACTCTATGTCTCTTTTACTTGGTCTACTCCTTTATATTAGAGTACTTATTACAAAGGTTTTCTAAGAAAGATAATGTGAGAGGTACATTTTTTTGAGACTTTGAAATGTCTGAAAACATGTTTATTATATTTTCACACTTGGCTAATAATTTGGCTGAGGATATTATTCTGGTTTGGATATAATTTTCCTTCAAAAATTTGAAGGCATTACCCATATATATATTAGCCTCCAGTAGCTTTAGACAAGTACAAAGCTATTTTGACTCCTGTTTTTTCATCAATGACCTGTTTAATTCCTGACTCTGGAAGCTTGGACTATATATTCCTGGTACCCTATGAAATAAAGTTTTACAATGGTGTGCCTCTGTGTGGGTCTATTTTTATCACCATGTTTAGTACTTGTGGAAACTTTTCAAACTAAAACCTAATGTCCTTCAGCTCTTGGAAATTTTCTGTTTTTCTTTCTGGGACTCATTTGAAAGAAGCAATCCCTACACCACCGATCCTTCTATTTTTTTTTTCTTTTTGTTCTTTGGTCTAGATTTCTTCAACTTTATATTCCAATTTGATCAAGTTTTTCATGCCATTTTTAATTTCCGAAGTTATTTTTTATACTATCTTATTCATATTTTATGGGAGCTGTGGTCTTTATCTTTCTGTGAAACAGGATGTTAATGATTTCTGTTAAGTTTTCTTCTCCATGCACACAGTCTGTATCCTTTAAGTTGATTTACTTGTTTGTTGTTTCGGTATATATTTCACATAATCCTTTCTTCAGAAACGTGGTAAATCTTTGTCTAAAAGGCTTACTGAATACTCTGAGCTAGCAAAGCTGAGGAATACTGGATCTCACTGGCAATCTGGCACGGCCATGTCCTTGATAAATTCCTGATGTCACTATCTTTAGGTATTTCTTCTTAGACTGTTCAGAATTCCCAGAGAAGAATCTGGTAATCTTCTTTTTGGATAATGTATGCCTGGTAAAGCGAGCCAGAAAGTTCTTAGCATTCTGCATCTAATCTTTAGGTTGCTTCCTATTTTCAGTTTGTCTCCATTTAAATAGCCTACGTTTTACCCCTTCTAAAAAAATATACCTCTGGTAGTCTGCTGAGGTGATGCAGTAAAGCCACCTGGCCTCATAGAGTAGAGGAAGGGAACTGACAGTCTAACTCCTGGAGACTTTAAACTAGTCCTCCCTGTTTTTAGCCTTACACCCAACCCCACATATACAGAGGTAACCAAAGATACTAAATATCAGGGATTTAAGAGTATAGGTCAGGTGATTTTTCAGCTTTCCACACTTCTAAACGATTGAATTTTTCAAGAGTGCAGACAGTTATCACTGGCTCATCTGCTTTTCAGTTTCCAAATTTTACTGCTATTGCCTTCTATTTGTGTGTGTGTGTGTGTGGCTTTATGTCTTTAAACTGTATATATTTTTTCTACTGTACTTTAGTGATGTTTAGTAGGGAGCAAAAGTAAATGTGTATATTCAATCAACTATCTTTACCCTGAAGCTGTATATACTCATATATGATATGACACTTGTTTGTACTCTTTGGGATTTTCTCCCTGCTTTGCCTTCTCAGTTTATTGTCTAGCACATTACATTTGACTTTTTTACTTCTCTTAATTGGATATAGTATGGGAAGCTTAATTTTTAAAAAAATGTTTATTGTTTAATGTTCTCTGAACTAAAATGAGTATAACATTTGTAACTCTCCCATCACATGCCAAAGATTTATTCATATAAGCTGCATTTGGTTTGTGTAATATCTATCCTATAGCACTTTGTAATTTACAAAGTATTTTCACATTTTACCCCTAAAAACTCCCTTGCAAAGATGAGCCATTTTAAACACTAAATGGGAAAGAAGTGTTTAAACAGTAGGTCTGCAATCCATTCTCTCTCTATGGAGGGAGGAGAATGCCTTGAAAGCAAGAAGGTGACCTGGTCAAATCTCTTTAAAACACACTAATAACAGACTTCCTAAAAAGAAAAAAAAAAGAAAAAAAATGACATCTATTAGCTAGAAAATCCTTAGTTATATACTGCTCAAAGCAGGATGCAACCACATTGCCTAAGACTGCTGATGGTAAACAAATTTGGAATCTATGGATTGATGAGGCACAGCTCCCTGGAAAATATAACTATCTTGATGTAAAATGGTTATGTTTTATGACCAAAGTGACTTTATTTGGTGTAAGTAATGTAGAAACTTCTTACGTAAATCTTGACCAGAGTGGGCTTTGAAGTAGAAAGAAAACACCTGGGAGCTGTATTAGCATGTCCAGAACTCTCTTTGCTTTGCAGAGGTCTCACTATCATTGGATAAACAAACTTATTAATGAAGCTTGATACAGGCTAAGGTCTCTGATCTGTGTGAGTGTGATTTGACAACCCAGCCTTTTGTGTTCTCCCATAAGGAAGCTGAGGTTCAGAATGGTTAAGTGACTTGGTAAAAGTCACATGCTAAGAAAGTGGTCAAATAGCACTAGAAGCCAAGCCTTACATCAGACTCCTTGTACCACATGACACATTCTACAGTGACAGGAAAAAAATGACCAAAGACCAAAACATGGCCTGTGGAGTCAGAAATAGACTTGGCTCTATCATCAATTAGCTGTTTGATCTCAGGCAAATTAAGTACAATGTTAAAGCCCATTTTCTTAACTATGCAGTAGCACTTACATAAAATATAAGAGATATCCAATGATAAGACCAACAGGTAAACATGCCAATACAGAACGTTTAGAGACGTTCCTAAAGAACACAGAAAAAAAGGATGCTTACGTTTTTCCTGTAATGCCTGCAATTTATTCAGTTCTTCATTCTCTTCATCACTATCTTCACTGCTTGTACTGCTGACATCTAAAACTATGTCCCTTTTGGGGTCTACTCGGAGAAAATTGCGGCATTCAAAAGTCAGGTGACCAGCTAAGTAAAACAAACAAAAAAATGTGGAAGATAAAACTATAGATATGTTACGTATTTTTGTATGTTTTGTTGCCTCAACATGTTACACTTTTAACAACACAATATAAAAAGTTAAAATTTATTCATTTGGTGGCAATTTGGTTATCTTCCCTATACTTTTTCCTGAATGCAATATTCAGAGAGAATTTTTTCCTTTCTTCATTGGAACTTCTAATTCAATAACATTTTTTGGAGCCACTTCTTACAGACTTCAAAGTATTAAATGACTATATTTTTCTTTTTTCAAATACAGATATAGTTTTAACTAATAAACTTGAGATTTTATATTTTATTCCTTCCCATACTTTTCATCTTGCATTCATACTTTTCCTTCCCAGTTTGACTTCTGTCCCCATGCAATTATATCACTTTCATCTAATTAAATTTGGCAAGGCAACATATGTGTTAATATAACTGAATGTGTTTCTCTAAAGAACACCTAAAATTTTAACTCTGACATCATTTCCCTGAAGACTCTACCTAGAAGAACACTACAAGAGTTATCTATTTACTGCATAATACAACTTTGTAGAAAGTCAAATATTATAAACACCAGAAAAGTACAAGAAATTATATAACCAACGCCTGAACATCTATCATCTGTATGTTAACATTTTATCATATTCACTTTAAATTCTTTTACGGAAAAAGTTTACCCCTTACCCCGTGCACACAGCTGGAGAGCTTGTACTACCTTTTGGAACCTTGTTTCAATCTCATTCCACTCTTTCTGTCCTTAGAAGTGACTACACTGAAGTAGGTCTCTATCTTTCCAAAACAACATACTGTAGTACGAATTAAAAAAAAAAAAAAACTCAAGCCGGGCTCAGTGGCTCAGTCTGTAATCCCGCGCCTTTGGGAGGCTGAGGTGAGTGGATTGCCTGAGCCCGTGGGTTTGAGACCTGCCTGGGTGGCGAGACCTCATCTCTACAACAAATCAAAAAATCAGCCAGGCATGGTAGCGCGTGCTTGTAATTCCGGCTACTCGGAAGGCTGAGGCAGAAGGATCGCCGGAGCCCAGCAGGTCGAGGCTGCGGTGCCTGGGAGCGGCCACTGCACTCCAGTCTGGGCAACAGAGTGAAACTCCAACTCAAAAAAACTAAAACAAACAAACAAAAAAACCTCAATTATACCTATCATTCTGAACTTTTTTCTGCCACTCGATATGTTTTGTGATTTATCTCTGTTAACATAAGTAGCTGCAATTTTCTAATTTTATCTAATCAATAATGTTCCACTGTAAGAAAACTATGTTTATTTATTTATCCTACTACTGATAGAAACTTAGGTTGCTTCAGTTGTTTGCAATTATACACAATGCTGAAATGAGTAACTGTATAAGTCTTTGTGCACAGGCATCAGGTTTTCTCTAGGATAGCTTCTTTCAAATTTTCTTGACCACAGTTGACAAATGGTAAGAAATAACAATGTTTCTTTCATGTATGACAAGTAAAAATAAACAATGTAACCAAGTATACTCATACATATATTCATGGTAAATACACCCTCACACAAACTGAAACAAAATTACATAAAGGATTACATAATCAATGTTCAAAAAAACCAATGCTGATGGTGACCAACTAACTTATTTCATAACCCATTAATGGTTCACTAAAACTCTATGCTAGAGTTTGTTCCCAGTTCTCTTACTTCATGGATGAAGTCCGTTGAGAGTCCTAGGTCTGGGCAGGGCCCTGGGCCTTGCTTTTATCTCTTGCATCCTACAGCCCATGAATACAGAAGTTCAAGAACCCTGGACTCATCAAATACCTTTTAAGGCTTACCTCTTAGAGCTTCTGCTTTCCTTTAGTCATTGGGCTTTGAATATCTTTACTTTTCTCCTGGCATATCTATGCTATCTAAAATACACATTGCACATTTTATACAAGTTTCCTAGTTGTTTATAGGAGGGTCTAGTCTGTTATATTGTTGGAAACAAGTTTCCTCCAATATGGTTTCCTTCCAAATGAATCATTCAGAAGGACTTATTTTTGGTTTCTAAACACATGGAGTATTCAGACTTTTTACTGCTGACTTCTAAATTTATTACATTGTTATCAAGGAATAAGATCTGTATGACATCAGTTCTTTAAGTCTTTGATGAGATTTCTTTTGTGGCGTACGATGTAGTAAATTTAGGGAAGATTTGGTATGTGTTTCAGAAGAATATATAGTCATGCATAGCATAATGATGTCTAGATCAATGAGGAACTGCCCAACCACACTAGTCTCATAAGAGTATAATATTGTATTTTTACTGTATCTTTTCAATATTTTAATATGCTTGGGTACTTAAATACTCACCATTATGTTCCAATTGCCTACAGTATTCAGGACAGTAACATGTACTCATAGGAGCAACAGGCTATACCATGTAGCCTAGGTGTACAGTAGGCTTATACCATCTAGATTAGTGCAATTATGCTATATGATGTTTGCACAAGGATGAAATTGCTTAATGACATCTCAGAATGTATCCCTGTCATTAAGTAATGCATTAAGTAATGCATGACTATATATTGCTATTTGTTAAAATAAGTTTCTGTATCTATTTTGTTGTTCAAATCTTCTCTCTTTTGTTCAATGCCGGAGACCTGCTCCAGCTGGGTTCAGGGTACCCCAAAGGTATAGAGACAGCGTCGGTGATTGGAGGGAAGAAGAGAGAGGGAGAGAAAGAAAGAGACTGGACTCCAGTCCAGTGCAGAAGCGATGTGTGTTATTGGGAATTATACTAGGTCTTTTATACACAAAGTTAGATGCGGGAGGGGCGTCCCCCACCTACCAGAAACCTCAATCCATGAAAACTTAATCAATGATTGCCTTTAAACCCTTTTCACATGATAATCTTAAAATCCCATAACAAAGGATAACCTAATCCGTGACTGACATATTCTATACCTTTTTCATCCTAAGCTGATTGATTTATGCCAAGTTAAACAATTCTATAGAAGTTTAAGTATTTACTTTACAAACGAAAGTGGCCTATCCCAGAATGTTTGGAATGTGGCCCAGTCCAAAGTTCACAGTGGGCTACCTGCAAGTAACCCAGCTGCATTCTTTCAACAAAATGGCTATCTTCTACAACTATATTCTACAATTTACACCTTCAATAAATCCTAAGATCATGACCCAGAAGCCTGTGACCAATAATAAGGCTCTTAGATGTGACATGAATTTGAATTATAAGTTGTGTGAAAGCCAAAACTGCAGTTTGTGGAAGAATGGGAGCAATGAGCTTCTACAGTTAGCTTGTGTTCGTCCTGATCTCAGAGTTTTTATGTGTTGAGCTCACAGGAGCTTAATCTGGTTAGTGCTGAGTAGAAAGGGGGAGGAAATGGGGTCAATAGCTCCCGAACGCATCCTAGTGGTCTCGGGGTCAACAGCCCTTCCTGAACCCTAACGCTCAGTGTGTCTCCGTGGCCGGCTCCCAACAGTCCAATAACTTCTAATAGAAGTACTTAAAAATTGTACTAGTAATACTGGTTTGTCAATTTCTCATTGTAATACAGTTTTGCTGTATATATTGAGACAACATTAGTAAGCACATTCCAGGTCATTATTATCTTTTTAGTAGTTTTGAGTCTCTCTTTGTCCATAATAGTGCTTGTGCCTCAAAAGTCTAAAATTAAAATTGTTCCACTAGTGTTCTTTTATTATTTGTTAAATTATTATTATTATTATCATTATTATTTTGAACCGGAGTCTCACTCTGTTGCCCAGGCTGGAGTGCAGTGGCACAGTAACAGATACTGCAGCCTTGACCTGCTAGACTCAGGTGATTCTTCCACCTCAGTCTTCCAAGGAGCTGGAACTACAGGAGACTAATTTTTTGATTTATTGTAGAGATGAGGTCTCACTAAGTTGCCCAGGCTGGTCTCAAACCTGTGAGTTCAGGTAATCCTCTTACCTCGGCCTCCCAAAATGCTGGGATTATAGGTGAGAGCCATTGTACCTAGCCCTATTATTTGTTAAATTATATGAAATTTGACATTTTCATGTATAAAACAGCTGAATATTAACAATGTTCAACCTAGTATCTGTGTTTTTTCCCCTCATTCCTTTAAAATTTCAATGTAGTTTTTAGTTTTATTAATCACAACAGGTAGTTGGACATAGTTTTTAAAATCTGATCTGGGCTGGGCTTGGTGGCTCAGCCTGTAATCCCAGCACTTTGGGAGGCCGAGGCGAGAGGATTGTCTGAACTCAGGGGTTCGAGACCAGCCCAGGCAACTTGGTGAGACCCTGTCTCTACAATAAATCAAAAATATTAGCTGGGCATGGTAGTGCATGCCTGTAGTTCTGGCGGAAGGATTGCTGCAGCCCAGTAGGTCGACACTAGGGTGGCCATGAGCGTCTACTGCACTCCAGCATGGGCGATGGAGTGAGACTCCAATTCACAAACAAAATTAAATAAATAAATTTTAAAATATCAGACCAATTTTAATGTTGATTTCTTAGCATGAGGTTAATTTCTTAGCATAGGAAAAACAGTTCCTGCCACACAGGAAGCAGCGTAAAGTCACTACTCATACCTACACATATTTACAAGGTGTAAACCTGGGCTGCCAATTCCTGGTTATTCCTTTTCTTCTATTATTATTTTTTAGGAACAAACACATTGCAAACATTCCAGCTACTTTCTGTCAACAGTAAGCGGAAGTTTTCTTTTTCTTTTTCTTAGATTCAGGGGGTACACATGCATGTTCATTACACGGACATACTGTGTAGTGGTGAGGATTGGGTCTTAGCAGGCCTACCCCCCAGATAGTGAACACACAACCCAAGGCCATTTGTGAAACTAACTCCCCCGTTTCCTCCCCCATTAGCGTTCCCAGTGACTATTGTTTCCATCTTTGTGACCATTTAGCTCCCACGTATGAGTGAGAACACGCAGTGCTGAGTTTTGTTTCTGAGTCAGTTCACTCAGGATGAGGATCTCCAGCTCCGTCCACGTTGCT